AGAGAGAGAGAACTAGAGATTTTTTGTGCATAGTTATATAAATGAGGCTTGTAAAAGAGGCTTGAATGGGCGTGGAGCAAAGGATTTTCTGTGGCGGATTATTGAAGGAAAATACTCTATCAGATTATCCCTTTAAATATGAAATAATAACCAAAAATTAGAACAAGAAAAGCGATTACCGTCATTCAAAAAATGAAGGAAAAGACAATGGAAGGAATATATTGCAATGCATGGATCGGTGACACATCAAATAAAAGTACAAATTTTTCTTTAGATATTTGCCGTTATTCGTCGATTGATGTTTGAAAATATAAATCTATGATATTAAGAATTTTTTATTTTTCCATTATTTTAATTTCAACATTGCAAAATGCGCAATTTTAAATCGTTTTCAATCAAAGAAACTTCTTAAAAACAAAAGATATTGATTGTTCGTACAATCCGTCGGTTTTTTTGTTCATAAAAGGTTGAAATAATAAAAGATGGTAACATTGCAGCACAAAGAACTAAAAAATGACTTGTCGTGTACAGGTCACTTGTTTACCTTTTGAAATATGTTTGTATTGTTTTTAATGAATTTTAATCTGTCAGCTTAATGACAATTTTCTATCTAATACCATATCCGCATTGAAATACTCATACCGTATTTTGTTTTGTTGTTGGTCTACCATATTCTGTCTACATTGGACAATGAGCGTGTAACGAGAATACGATAAGTTTTTGTTTACATCGTGCATAGTTCCACTAGGATCATCTATATAATATTTTGCAAACTATAAATGAATAACCAGCATGTATACTTATCAGGTCTGAATGCCATTGATCAGATTTAAGGATATTCGCATATTACTATAGAAAATTAGTAGCTAAATACAAAAAAGTATCTTTTTCAAGCATTTTCAAAACAACGAAACTTTATCAATATTCATGCGATCTCAAGGTTCAAATATATTTTTGTTGTTATACATTTTCCAATTCAAAAAGCCATTCCAAACCAAACCATTCATGGCGATTTCAATAATATGGGTTATTTAAATTTCAGTTTGAAATCGAATTCCAACGATTGAAGAGTCAATTGATTTTTGCGCGACAGAATTTCGAAAATTAATTCTTGTTCGTTGGCATTTTTCTATATCGAACAAAATCATTTTGCCTATATGCCATCCAATCAATTGCACTAAGGATGCTCTGAATTCCGAGAATTTGAATCCTCGTTGCATTTGGCATTTCCCTTTTCAAGTGCTTATCCAAAAATGTATCGCTGCATTAGTGCACGAATCTCGATTTCGCATCACTTGTTTGCGTTTTCATCCTCTCTCATTTCAGGACGTCTTAATAATGGTGCATCATACGTTGTCTATAAAGGTTCATGCCCATAATCATCTCACGAGAAATAAATGATACACACGTTATAATTGTTAGTTTTATTCCACATTTATGTTCGTATTTCGTTCACAATATCGAAACGGTTGTAGTGTACACAGATCTTCCACTGAAATCGAATGTCCAAGAATAATTTAATCAGTAAAATTGATGGTAAGTTGTGTGTGTATGTATGTGACACAGGTTCTCTCATTCAACACGTGGTGAATTATTCGATGCAAACGAAAAACGATATTTTTCTGGATTTGCTGAAGATACGCTGAAACGATTAAGCATATACATTTTGTGTTGCATTTTTACAAAACAAAAAAACCCAAACATTATTATGCAGTATATATGAGGATCGCCTAGTGCAAATGCATATTCCATAATTATAACATTTTAAATGAAGTGCTGACATAATAACTCAACGAGATCCAGATCACACATCGTGAGTCGACATTACACAGAATGAGACAGACAGAAAAAAAATATAATACACGCGCGTTAATTAAGAGAAATCCAAAACGTTGAACTACATTATCGAATCGTATCAGCCCGGTTAAAATGGAATCGACAAACAAGTCTGCAACAGCAGCGCACAAAAACGCAACACCACAAACTTCACCACACAAAATGCAGGAAGAATATTCGCAAGAAACGAACAAACACGAAATGCAACAACTCATGAACGCCAGAAACGAAATGAAACAGAAAAAAAACATACATACAGATAAAATGACTAGTTGCAATATGCAAACACGCGCTCCTTTGACCAAACCAAAACAAAACGACGATGAAGGCACTTTTTGCATACATATACACACATTTTTCGCAGAGAAAAAAAAAGTATCATAAAGAGGAATACGAATTAAAGTCAAACAAATTTAGATTCACATATTTGATAACAAATTTATATATAGAGGAGTCGAATGGTAATGAACAAAAAATTGGCACCATAAATTTCAATCGACGATGAAATAATTTTTGGCACGTCGATTTGCTTCTGCGACTTTAAAGTGAAATTTAGAAAAAAATGAATAACATTTCGTTTACATTGAACTACAAAAGATCCAGTTTACCATAAAAGTATTTGAATAAAATTACTTCAAAGAATGATGATATTCGTCCGAAAAATAGAAAATTCTCGTTTTACCAAAAATAAAATTCACTTAAAAAATGCTGACTCTCCGAAATCGTTAAAAAAAATTCGTTTTCAATTATGTTGTGATTGTTTAACTATCATAGCCAAAGTTCATAGAATGTCAATAAATCATGCAAGTTGATGTTGCACATGTTTTATGTTTTGGTTTGTTTGGAAGTTCATGTTTTGGCTTGAATGTCGTCGTTTAATGGTTTGTTTTTGTGTTTTCATTTATTCGACTTGCTCAAGAAAACACGCATATTTCGAAACTTCGGTTGTTTTGTTTGTTCCATGTTCGGTTGCTGAACCAAAGCAATGGAACAAGTTTGTGCCTGTATGTGTTTGGGTGGCTGCGAGAGCATTAACTTTTATCTTATTCGATGTGAATTTCTTATAGATGTGCTATCCAAAACTCAATATGAGGTCATATGTTGTCTACAAACTGTCTAACATGGTGTTCGGTAGCTGTTTTTGGTCTCTGGAGAGTATCGAACCATACAACAATGCGTGAATCCAACTATATCAAATATTAATCAAAGTCTGCATTGCCAATACATCGCAAATCACCGGCTACATAGGATTTCATGCACTCTCTGTCACCGGGAATATGAAAATTTTACACCAATCCACCGAAACGAAATAAATGAAGTAAGTAATAAGTTTTCGGTTCCAGTACAAAAATTCATATTACTATGCTTGACCACGAACCGCTGGTTAATTGCTAGCGCAATATTTTTTGTTCGCATTAGCAATGCATCAAAGTAATGCGTCCCTGGAATATAATTTGTTGTTGTTGTTGTGGGGGATAGTATTCGTGTGTATTCCCTTCATACTTTTCGAAAATTACCCGTGCCATTCAGGCGAGTCGGGCGATTTTTCTTCATTTTCTCGCGGTTATGGGTCTTTTGATATTTTTCTCGCTTCCGTAAGAAAATATCGAATAAAAAGAATATAATTATTGTTTATGGGTTTGTTTTGGAATCGTATACATCAAATTGTTTCACTTTCTAAAAACAAGAAACAAATATAACGATATAACAACAAATCGCAACATAAATCGTCGTGTGGCGGCAATAAAGCAATTCAAGATTTATGCTTTTCATCTGAATCAAATCATTAAATGTTGGCGCAATACAATCAATGATTGCGATTAACATTAAATCAGAAATATGGATATAAATGCACGGTACGCCGCATTCAATTTAATGACATTTTATGATAATTTCATAGGCTCAACATAGTGTGCAACGTTCATTGGATAAAATCAATGATTTTGTTCAAATTAAAATTGGCTCGAAGGAAAGAAGCCTCTAACTATCGCCCATATGCTTTGAATTTGTCGAGTTTCATGTATTATTGACAATAAACAATAATGCAAAATGTAAAAATAAATCTCATCCGTTCAACGCCGAAAGGTGTATTCATCTTGGGAGAAAACACTTCTGTTGATCACATGATGATCAATAAAAAAATCATATTTTGTAGTTGTGAATGTTGTTTGACTTCTGGATAACAACAAAGTATCAATACAGTTGTTAGCACCTTGGTTTAGCACTGGCTGAAGCATTTTACGCAACTTTTATTTCCTAGTTTGAAATGATGTCCATAAAAATATATAATTTTTTTATTTTTCCAT